TTTTTTTTTTTGTTAAGGAGACATTTCTATGTATATAAACAGCCCTTCCTCCCCAACCTGGTTAGACAAGAATGTTCCTGGGTGTGGACTGCCTTGTATAATTAACTGCACAGCTGGAGCTTCTGATTCCTCCACGTCTGCTCCTTCCTTTCCTCCTTTCTTTCCCCCTGCATCCACCTGGGCGCGATCCGGGCGCGCTGCTCCTCCTCGGGAGCTCGGGGTGCGTCACCGGGGCAGGAAGGTTTCCTCAATTCTGCATTCCAGAGCCATTCCTCGCTGAGACCGGGACCGGGCAGAGCCTGCCTGCCTTGGAGGGGGCTGAGAGACGGGAGCTGGGGCAGAGAGCGAGCAGAGGAAGCACCGACCCTGCTTAGGCCATGGAAACGGGGAGCGCAGCCAGGACGAACGGTACCGGCGGCAAGCCCGAGGACGTGAAGAGCCCAACTGCCCCCAAAAAAGAAGAGGAAGCCAAGAAGGCCACGAGCCCTGGTGGAGGTGAGAAAGAAGCTATAAAAGGCACGGGCGGTGCTGCGTTGGAGACAGGGCAAATCAAGAGCTCCCTCTTCTCTGGGAGTGACTGGAAGAGGCCCATCATCCAGTTTGTGGAGTCATCTGATGAGAAGAGGTCAACCTACTTCAGCATGGACTCGGCAGACTCCAAGAAGATGCAGTTCAGCAGCGGCCAGATCGGAGACATGAGGAGACCAGCCCTGAACTTCCCGGAGAAGGGCGACCTCAGGAAGTCCCTGTTCTCCTTGGATTCCAAAAAGAGCTTCCTGCCCGCTGACGGGGAAGGGAGGAAGTCCCTGTTCTCCGCTGGGCAGATGGGGGACCTGAAGAAATCTTCCCTGCCTCTGGTGGAGACGGGGGATCTGAGGAGACCCTTCAACAAGGCCGACAGAGCCGCGGGCTCGCGGCCCCGCGTGAAGCTCGAGGACGTTCTCTGCGACTCCTGCATCGACAACAAGCAGAAGGCTGTCAAGTCCTGCCTGGTGTGCCAGGCTTCCTTCTGCGAGCTGCACCTCAAGCCCCACCTGGAGGGAGCGGCGTTCCGGGACCACCAGCTCCTGGACCCCATCAGGGACTTCGAGGCCAGAAAATGCCCAGTGCATGGCAAGACCATGGAGCTGTTCTGCCAGACAGACCAGATGTGCATCTGCTACCTCTGCATGTTCCAGGAGCACAAGAACCACAGCACGGTGACAGTGGAGATCGAGAAGGCGGGCAAAGAGGTAATTTTATCCTCTTTTTATTCCTCCTTTCATTCCTTCTGTCCCCAGCAGCCTGCAGATGCCCATGTCACAGCACAGCTTTTGCTCCTCAGCCTGCAACCCCTCCCCAGGTCGTGGCTGGGGTGGAATTCCAGGATGCAGTGCTGGTGGTGGGAAGTGTTTAGTGGAGAATTGGTATTGCCTGGCTGCTGTTTCCATGGGATTGGCGTTCTCCTGATCCTGGCTGCAGTTAGGCTGCATTTAGGGATGGAGAACCTGGCTGCCAGCACACCTGACTTCCAGCAGAAGCTGAGTCAAAGCCCGAAACGCCAAGTTTTAAAAAATATTCTTGAGTTTTGACAGTGTTTGTGTGGTGTTGCCCACAGAGAGGTGGGCACTGCTCAGGGTCAGCACCTCCAGAATACAAATTGTCAAATCAGTTGCTGCTAAAGTTACTCATGGGTACTAATAACTATTGAAAATTGCTATCTCGGCTCTTGAGAGTGATATTAGGTTTTGGTTTTGTTTTTCTTTTCTGTTGAGCCACACCTATGGAAAAAGCTTTTTGAAGTTTAGATGGAAAAACCCCAAACCCTGGTGCACGCACAAAACCTGATCACTTCCCCTGAAGTGTTCAGAGCATGGACACCCAGGGAGATTTCACTAATGAAATGTCTTTCACCTTTGTTTGCTCAAAGTCTCCTGTTGTTTGCTTTCTGGGTGGATGAGGAGGATTTCACTTGTTCTAGCAAAAAATCAGGGTCTCAACACGATTGTTGTGCACATCACCGTGGTAAAAGCAAGAAACTTTCTAAGCAGACAGGACAGGAGGGATGCCAATAAAGAGACCTGTAAAATAATAATTACATAAAACAACGTGCCTGGAGTCACACAGTCAGAACCTGGAAGGGCACTAAGATCTCCTAAACCCCAAACCAGTGCTGTGATGTGGTGACCAGGCAGACACAGGCACCTGCTGTGAGAAATTCTTGAGCTCCCTTAATGGGAAGAACAATTTTAATCTTTCCAAGGAGCTGGGAAGATTTATCTCATCAGGCTGAAAGAGCATCTTGTGTAGAGCTTATCTCTGGCTTCTCTGGTCTTTTCTCCTGCCGTGTCATCTCCAGCTTGCAGCCTCGCTGAAACCAGACAAAGCCTTTTCCAGGTCTCAGACAGCCTTTCCCAAATTCCTGCAGGGCTTGCCAGGCTGCTGTTTGTTCCATAATTGCCTGAGCTCGTGGTTTTGATGTCAGCCCTGCACTCTGCAGAGCCCTAACACAAAGCTGTGCCTGGCGTCTGCCAAGGTGTCCCATTCCTGCCTGGAACGAGGTGAACAGCTGCTTCCTGAGGAAGCAAAGCTGCTCAGATCCTTCCTCCTGTGGCACACCAGAGACACACCAGCACCTCGATTTTAAAGACACAACCATGGATGAGCAGAGGACTGGGATTTAAATGCTGTTTGAGTTCTGTCTCTGAGTCCTTGTGCCACCTTTAGCTCCTGCACTGGCTCTGCTGCTACTCAGCCTAAAGGATGTAGGATTTATCAGCATGAATCATGCCCATGTGCAGAGTTTCTTCTGACAGAGTTTGATCATGTTGTAACTCGAGCAAGCATTCACTCAGACAAAAACAATTAGCAGGAAAGCTGTTGCCTACAAATGTTTGTTCCCACCCCTTATTTATTCACCAGAGGTGGAGCCTGAGCAGGAGCCACAAAGAGCAATGAGTATTTCCAAGCCCTTGGTGTTAACACGTCTCCTTATCAAATCAGCCCAGCTGGAATTTCTGGCCACAAATTGGGAGGGTGGCTGGTGCTGCTGCCTTTTTGGAAGGGATCAGCAACGACCTCACACCAGGTCATCCCTATCCCTGTTCTCCCAGCTTGGCATCCCAGCAGCTCCAGAGCAGCTTTAAATTAAAGCTTCACATCCATTCTACCACTGGAGTGCTGAAATAATAAAGAAAGTTGTGTCCAGACAGAGCCTGAACACCGTGCTGGATGTTCAGGATTTATCTGCAAGGATTTCCTCATCCCTGGTTGTTGTGTGAGAGGCTTCCAGAGCTGGGGTTTGTTTTGCTGCACTGCCAGCCTGGGAGCTCAGCGGTTTGGTGGCACAGAAGTGTCACAGAACAAGCTTGGTTTAGGTGCACCTGCCCTTCAGGTCTGCAGAATGAATGCAGATTTCAGCCTGTCTTTGCTGTGGGTTGTAGGGAGGACTGGGGCTGTGCTCTAGAGCTGGGGAAGCTCCTTCTGAGGAATTAGGAAGCCCTGCTTGTCTCACTGAGCAGACAGAGAAGAGGAATGCAAACAAGCCAGAACACAGACACCTATAGTTAGAGCAGTGCAAAGGCTGATATCTCTGTCTCAGACAGAGAGCTCAGCAGCATCTTCCACTTTTCAGGAGCCTGGGGTGAGAATCACTCACCCCCTGTTCCTGCTGAGCAGACACAAGTGAAAGGCACAGGGACTCAGACAGAGACATTTCTCCTGACTTCCCACCCAGTGCTATTTGCGTATTTTACCCAGCAAACCTTTAATGCTCTCCCCAGATCCACTTTGCATTCATTTCCTGCTGCAGGTTTAAAGGAAAAGTAACAGTTTGCGCCAGAACCAGTACAAAAAAACAGCCAGGAAAAGGTCGGTGAGGCTGGGGAATAACAACTCACACTTGAAAAGTGAGAATGCTCCACAGCAGCCTGTGCAGCCCAATAAAACCCTTGATTTATCAGCAGAGCCCCCCTTGGAGCCAGCATCCTTCATTCTGAAAGGGATCCTTCATCCCAAACCTGTTTTACAGGGCTGCTCTCTAAAAGAGACAACTTCACCCCTGCCTGCCAGTCCCAGAGCTGGAAATAAATAACCTGGTGTTACCTTCCAGGACCAGCCTTGGTGCTCAGCAAGCCAGGTCAGCTCTGCTGAAAAACACTTTGATCTGATTTTTTTTTTTCCTGAAATTCTTTATCTTTTAAAGCAAACTTCATTGTGAGCACAGGAAGGGGAGCTGTGTGCTCCTCCTTCCCACAGAGCTGCTTTGAAAAGAAAAGCTTTTACAAAGGCTGAGCCAGGCTTTGAAGAAAACCATCCACAGAGGTGGATCCAGAGGGGTTCCCATCCCTGCATCACTTTCACTGAGCAGAGAGCAAACAAAATTAAACCTTGGAAAAGCTTGGGGGCTTTTTTCACTGCTGCAGCGTGGCTGTGAGATTTTACCTACACCAGCTGTGGCTTCTCTGTGGGCACAGCTCAAAAAGAGATGTTTTCCTCAGAGTTCCCTGCAGGAACGACACTCTCCCCAGCTGGAAATTGGAGTATATTTGACTGTTTGCCCGAATTCTGCATTAATCTACACTGAGGACAGAAAACAGGGAAAATCCACTTGTTTGCAAGCAAGGAATTCTCTCCAAGCTGTGTAGACTCAGCTTCTCCAGTGGCATTTTTTTTTTAGGATGCTGGCAGGGTCTCCAGAAAAACTCAGAAAAACTGAGATGGGAAAATTTCTGCACCCAGCAGAAATCACGTCTCAAACAACCCCCTGAGTTCCCAGCCACGGCATCCTGGCCCTGCACTGGGACAATGGGATGGAGCAGCACTTGTGCAGCTCCCTGATTTCTTTTGGGAGAAATGAGAAAAAATCAGGAAAATCAGGGAAAAATCAGGATAAATTCAGGAAAAATCTGGGAAAATCAGGAAAATTGTGAAAAATCAAGAAAAATCAGGGGGAAGTCAGGGGGAAATCCAGAAAAAAATTAGGAAAAACAGAAAAAAAAAAATCAGGACAAATCAGGGGAAAAGCAGAAAAAAATCAGGAAGGAATAATGAAAAGTCAGGTTAAAAACAAGAAAAATCAGAAAAAAATCAGGAAATCAGGATAAATCAGGGGAAAATCAGGATAAATCAGGAAAAACGAGGGAAAACATCAGGTTAAAATCTGGGAAAATCAGGAAAAATTGGGAAAATCTGGAAAAACAGGGAAAAAGCCAAGGAAATATCAGGGAAAAAAATCAGTAAGAATCAGGAAAATATGATGAAAAAATCAGGAAAAATCAGGAAAAAATCAGGAAAAAATAGGGAAAAAACAGAGAAAAATCAGGAAAAAGAGAAAAAAATCAGGAAAAAATCAGGAAAAATTAGTGAAAATCAGATGAAAATCAGGAAAAACAGAAAAAATCAGGAAAAAAATCTGGAAAACAGGGGAAAATCTGGCAGGTTAATTAGCAGAGCTCTCCCAGCTGGGGACACAGGGCTGTTCCCAGAG